ACCTTCCTGGTGAGGTCTTTCCTAACTACCTGATTTAAAATTGATAGAGTGATCCAGCCCCACTGCCCCCTTGTTAGAATTCCTTATTCCTTTTATTTTATCCATGCTGTATTTTTTTTTTGTTTTATAGCTTTTTATTTTGTTCGTTGTCTGCTCCCCTCCTGTTATTTTGCATTCCGTAGAGACTGGGATTTCTGTTCATATGTGTTCAGTGATGTATCCTTGGTACTTAAAACAGTGGTAGGCACTTAGTAGGTATTCAACCAGTATTTCTTAAAATTAATAAATTGACTTTTATGTCATGGGGGGTAGTTTGTAAATAAACAGTCTTATCATCTTCTAATAATGAACATTATTATCTCTTTTCAGATAGCAAGACTCTTATTTTTTTCTCATCTTTTTTGCAGTGACTTTAACTTCTGGAACAATGTTAAATAACGGACAGTTTGCCTTCTTCATGACCTTAATGAGAATGCTTTTCCTGTTTATGCTTTTAGCTCTTGCATTGAGATAAATTTGTTTTTTAAATCAAATTTTAAAAGTAACCTTTCTTTAATTTACTTAGAATTTTTTTGGAGGACAGGGAGTAGAGAGTGGATGTTGAATCTTAAGTCAAGTAGCTTTTAAGCATCTGTCAGATGATTATATGGTTCTTTTCTATTATATATTGATGTCATGAATTACATCAGGAGATGTTTTAGTAGTAAACTATCCTTTTCTTCCTGGAATGAACTGTACTTGGTCATAGTATGCTATTCTTTTAATTTACTGCTGCATCAAATTTGCTAGGCTTTACATTATTCCTAGTACTTGTAAGATCTTTAAAAGTCTTACGTCATTTGTTAAAGTTTCTATTTACTCATTCTCTAATGAGGAGAATTCAGTCCAGGCATGCATTTGCTCTGAGTTGCTTCGGTTCACCTTGGATCATCTCATTGTCCATCTAAATCCTATGGACCCCTTCTTCCAAATCATAAACTAGAGGACATTGAGGGTCATTTTCATTACCTAGTTACTGATTTAGTAGTCTCTGGCAAATTGAAAGGTCACTAGGTTCTCCTTTTGTAATTTAAAGCTTTGTTGTTTAGTTGGTCACAACGTCTTACTATTTTTCTAACAAAATGTGTAGAGTCGTTCTTCACATCTTTTTGCTCCACATATTCAGTCAATCAGGAAATTCTCTCTGCTTTTGACATAATTTTAAATTCACTCTATATTTTAGTTTATGTCAGGACTTTCTTTTGTTTATTCGTGTGTCATTAACACACTTTAAAAATTATTACAGCTTCGTACTGTATTTTAATATCTGCACGGCGTTAGCTCTCCTCCCAGTGTTGCTCCGTGGTTCTGCTGGTGTTGAATGTTGCCGTGGGTATGTCTGAGGACAGCCTGATTTCCTCCTCCTCCCTCCCCACTCTTTTAGTGACTTGATCTTTTTCCCTAGATGCCTCAGTGCTTCTGTCTTTTTCTTTAAGTCAAATAGCTTTACTAGGCCCTGGCTCAGCGTTGACTCTTTTGGTCCCGTTTCCCCTTGGACGTGTGGTATACTTTATGTACTTAGACTCATGGCTGCTTTTCTCTCAAATTTTCTTGATGAATATCTTTAAAGATGTACCCTGTTGGGTTATTTCTGTTATCTCTTCAAGAAATCGGTAATTCAGACTCTTTATTTTCATTATATTTTCTACTCTCATTCTGTCCCCTATACCATTTATTGTGCTTTTAGCAGCATTTGCTTTTTTTGTTTTACTGTTGCCAATTGTGCGTTAATTTCGATGACAATTTTATTCTTCTTTCTTTCGCTCTTCTAGTTCATGTTTTATCTTTTCTGGTTGTTTTGCTGTTTCTTCCTGTGCTCGTCCAACTCTGTTTTGTGCAAAGAGCTTAATGGGGACCATTGCTTTATTAAACATTTTTTTATTGACATATAATTGACATATAACATCGTGTAAGTTGTAGAATGTGTTGGTTTGATACATATGTATAACTTTTTTAATTCATGGAAAATTATTTGGTCATAGTTTTCAAGTGCTTAATGGTAACGCTGTGTGTGTGTGTGTTGGGGGTGTATTTGCCATCTGTTCCTCCTGTTATTTTCCTCCATCTTCCTGGAGCACCTTTGTATCACATTCCTGCATTCTTTTTGGAGGGACATAAGTTGCTTTTTTATCATCAGCTGTTTGTAGGAGGCTCATGTTGAAGAGAAGTTAGGGTCATGTGCCTGGTTAGTTGGAATCTTTCTACAGGCCCAAGTTGTGCGAGAGAGTGTTTTTGTCCCCTTTTTGTGCTGTCTCTGCTGACCTTACTATGGAGGTAGTTTTGTTTATTAATAATTGTCTCTCTAACCTGTAACCAATAATTAATAATTGATTTGTCTGTGACTCCTTGTTCCACCATGCGCCTTCTACTACAAGAGTTACAGGAGAATCAAGGGTCCTCCTGTTGCTGTCCTCTGTATTCCATTTCCACTGTTGCAAATAGGGGATTAAGTTTTTAATCTGAGTATAGTCATGTATCACTTGACAATGGGGATATGTTCTGAAAAATGCGTCATTAGGCAATTTTGCCATTGTGCAAACATCATAGAGTAGACTTACACAAACCTACATGGTATACTCTACTACCTATCTAGACTATATGTACTAATCTTATGTGACCACTGTCGTCATTGCCGGAAACATCATTATGCAGTGCATGACTGTATACTCCTCCTTTTTGAAAAATTTGTTGTTTTTACTTAGAAATTTATTCTTTTGAGAAATTTATTTTACTGTTTTTTCCATCATGGGCAGCCATGACATCCTTTCTCAATTTCTTTTCCCCGCTAGCAGTATTTGCCCTATTTTGACTGCCCTTCAACTCATTTTGTGGTTAAAAACTTTTATGATATGCTATTTGTCTCTCCTCTCAATCCTTGGTATTATTTCCAGGATGAGAAAGGGGAAATGCCAACTTAAACTTCTAATTTGCAGATGATAGTGTAAGTATTCTTTCATTTTGGTTCCATTGCACTTTATCTAGCAAATGTTTTCACTTTTATAAACTAAGTATAGACCATTTCTCTAAATTGATAATAGTAGTTTTACTTTTATATGCATTTGGTTATTTTAGCCAGATTCTAGGGAGGGAATTTGAGTTGCCATTTTTGACTCTTAAAGACATCCACCAAACATATTTTCTCTCTTTTTATGGATGCTATTGAATAGGTAGAATGTATATTGCACCACAATTCAGAAACTCTAAAAGATATACAGAGAGGAGCCTGTTCCCTTCCAGCATCTCAGATCCCCCCCCCTCCCCCCGCCCCGTGAGCTAACAGTTCTAACCAGTTTCTTTTTTATCCTTGGAGAGAGATTCTGTGTAAAAACAAATATATATTTGTATATATATTCAAGTGTTTCTCCATTTTTATTCAGATGCTACCACTGTACACAACATTTTGTGCCTCTCCTTTTTCACTTAACATACCTTGGAGATAGTTCTTTATCAAAATATATATAACTACTCTGTTCAGATGTCTGCATAGTATACAACTATAAAAATGTACCTTAAACATTTAAACTTTTTGTTATTGATGGACATTAAAAAAATTTTCTTTTGTTATTATGACCATTCTGCAATAAGTGTCTTTGTATGTAAGCTATTATGCTCGTGTTTGACTATCTCTCTGAGATAAATCAGCAGACGTGTAATCAGAAGGTTGGTTTCTTCTTGGATCTCCTGTTTCGTCAATACCACCTTTCGGTGAAACCTTCCCTAACCACTCGATCTACTGAAGCCACCCAGTGTCCCCTTCACATTATCTTTTTTATATACTTTTATATCATAGTATTAGTAGACATATAAAAAGGTAGGATGAGCAGGAGTATAATGAACCTTCCATGTACCCATCACTCATCTTTAACAATTATCACTATTTTCCAATCTTGCTTCATCTCTCTCTCCCTCCCATACACATTTTTTTCTTAAGTACTTTAAAGCAAATTCCAGCTATAATGCCATTTTACCCATGAATAGTTCAGTGTGTATCTGTAACAGATAAGGACCTAAAAAAAAAAGCATTACCACTATGCCGTTATTACATCTAACAAAATTAACACTATTTCCTTGATCTCATCTAGTACCTTTCCCATATTTTCCTATGAGACTAAAGAACTTTTTGCACTTTTACAGTTTTTGCTTGAATCACAATCAAAACAAAATCTTCACATTGACTTATTTTTTTTTAGTTTATAACTTCCTCTACCCTTTTTAAATGCATTTTTTCCCTAAAGAAATAATATTGTAATAATATGTAGGTTTCTCCAAATTCTGAATTTGATTGTTTCCTGCCTGTGGTATCTTTTAACATATTTCTCTGCTCCTTGTAGTTCCTGTGAACTGATAGTAAGATATCTAGGATTGGGTAGTTTCAGGTTCAGTTTTCTTGGCAAGACTGTTTCATAGACAGTGCAGTGTACGTCCTCTTGTGTCACAATAGGAGCCACATGACTTCTACTTGTCTCTCTTTTAGTAGTGTTAAGATGCGTCAGTGTGCGTAGATGTTCTCAGCTTTATCTGACAATTATAAAGTTACTCATTGACCTTTCACCTAATGAACATTTCTTGAATCGGTAGTAAAATGATTCTGTCATTTTTTCTGTAATTAAGTGATGAATAAAAAGTCGGAATTTGCAGTTTTTATGGAATTGTTAATGTTCTCTAATTTTTAAATTAAGTAGCACTTGAGAAGAAAATTTGCTAGTCCTAGATTTAGACAATTTTTAAAAGTCTTGGTTAGGAATTACCCGTGGTCTTTAAATAATATTTCAATAGGAAAAACTTTTGAAGTCAAATACTATTCAAAATGATTAAAAAATATATTTGAAATAACTATGTGATCTTTCTTATAAAAATATAAATTTATATTTTCACATGTCGGTATTTGAGACACTAAGAAAGTTTCTAAACTTTTAGGACAGATTTTACAAAGTCTGCTTTCATTGTTCCTCTTTGTATAGGTTATTAAGCGTGGTATGCTGTGATCTGGACACTCTGCTCCTATTAGAGGCTCAGTATCAAGTATCGGAAATGCTACTAAATGCTCAAGAAGAAAATATCTTAGAGACCTCTGAGAGCCAGAGGTAAAAAAAATGCCTATTACGACATGATAATAACAGCAGTTTTCTTTACAGATACTCTGTAAAGACAGTAATTTTCTGTATAGTTTGTTTAATGTTTCTCCACTATCTGAATTCACTAGATTTAAACAACAGAGTAAAAAGCAGTTAAAGCATAAACGTCACAGAAAGATTGTGATAGATGTTCTTGGAGAGGCCTTGCAGAGTACTGCTTTCTAAGTTCTTGTTTTAATTTAGTTTTTTGTTTGGTTTTTGTTTTTAGTTAAGCCCTAACTTTATTAATGGTTACATGAAGTTGTATCACCTTTAAATCCAGGCTGCATGTGTAAGATGACCCATTAAATAAAATGTTTGATTATGTGTCCCTTGTAGAGACACTTTGCTCCATTCTCTTAATTATATTCATAGTCATAAAATCTGATTATTGCAAAATGAGGTTATGGTAATATCTTGATAATTCTTTTTCTTTTAACAGATCACATTGCCATCTCCTCTTTGGCTGACATTTATTGAATACACATTCAATAGCTGGCATTGTTTTCGTGTCTATAATTTTAAAAAATGTGTGCCTCTATCCTAGCTAGGTCTTAGAAGATTATAGAAGACCAGGCACGTAACTAGATACTCTAGATGTAGTATAGAAGGGTGGTATTAACAGCTGCAAGAAGTGTGGAGGCTGCTCAAAAGCACCATTTAGATTTTGAATTTAAGGCACTGGTCTAGAATTTAAGGGAAACTTGGCTAAAAATGTGATAACGGCATTGTGGAAATAATGCATGTCTTAATCCCATTTCTTTAAAGGCAATAACATTTGTCAAGGAAATATTTACTAATGTCATTCATCTCGTATCCATTATATCTCCATCAATTCTTTGCTCTTAGGCAAAGAAAGCTATAAGATGAAAGTGAATTTAGCCCTTTATAAGCCATACATTGATAGCCTATTTTCCAGATCTCTCTATAGAAATTTTTCTGCCTTTTTTCTTTATATTCCACTGACTTGGTTTTAAAATTAAATCATACTCAATTAAGGAGATGACAAAATTGATATATTTATTTTTCAGAGATTTTATAATTGACGGTTTATCGGTAGAAAGAAATCATGTTCTTGTTAGAATAAATCTTACTGGTGGGCCAATGGAACGGATTTTGCCACCAAGGATTCTGGAGAAGGTGAGTGAGGTAAAGAGAAAGCGGAACATTTTTCTGACGTCTTTTGAAGCAACGTAGCCAACTCAGGTGACAGTAAACAACAGCTGCTGAATGTCTAGATCACAGAGTTGAACTTTTGTTACTAGGAAAACTCTGGATGCCAGTAAACGTGTTCAAATGAAAATAGTCTTCTTCATGGCGAGGGGTCCTGAGTGCTGGTTTGTGTTGCAGAGTAAGGTACTGTTTTATTAAAAAGTTGTCATACCCACAACTAGAATGTACAACTATGTTCTGGGGGGGAGGTGAGGAGGAAAAGCAAAAAAAAAAAAAAATTGTCGTTTTCCAGGGCTGGCCTGGTGGTGCAGTGGTTAAGTTCACTCGTTCCACTCCAGTGGCCGTGGGTTTGCTGATTCGGATCCTGGGTGCGGACCTGTGTTTATCAAACCATGATGTGATAGGCATCCCATATATAAAATAGAGGAAGATGGGCGCAGATGTTAGCTCAGGGCCAGTCTTCCTCAGCAAAAAGAGGAGGATTGGCAGCAGATGTTAGCTCAGGTCTAATCTTCCTCAAAAAAAAAAAGACAAAAAGTCATTTTCCACGTGTCTTTGAAGTTTTACTTTTGATATCTTTCTCTTTCATGTTATCTAATTTTTAGTAGATGATTAGATTCTTTTTGTATTTAATTTGCAATATTGAGTACCTCTCCTCCATCAGTATTCATAGAGTTTGATATTCTCTTGAAGGTTTTTGTTGTTGTTATTAAGTACATTTTTGCTTTGTCACTCTGGGAAAGATGAGATAGAAATGATTTACAGCACAAGAGAAACAGTTTTGTGAGCAACAGAGGAAATACAGGTTTTTTTGAAGACTATAATTTTCTTTTCATGAAAAAAAATACTAAATCTGTCGTGATGAGTCCTAGTTGCTTGAACAGGTTCCCATCTATTTGTCTCCAGTGCTTATTTAATGTTGTTTCTATTACATTTCATTTTAGTTATTATCAGAGCATTGAATTATGAGATAAGATAGCTTTTGGTTAGTTTGACCAAAACTCTAGAATTCATAAAACAAAAGCCAATTTAAATTAATGATATTTCAGAAAGCCTTAAAATTCATATTATTGTAAACTATGTAAAATCATCTGTCTTGCTTTTTTTAGGGTGATGATCCATATCCTTGGCCAATGTTTTCATCATATCCTTTGCCAAACTGCTATCTGTCGGAAGTTACAAGAAATGCTGATGTAAGACAAGGTAAAATATTTACCATCAAATGCCATGTTGTTTTAGTGCTTTTGTTGTTGTAATTTGAAAAAAGAAAGCATTATGAAGGGAGATTAATACTGTTTTTCATTCGGCTTGTATACATGAATACGTTTATGCCAATTTCTTTGCAAGTTTTTATTTTTTCACATTTCTTACTAAATTACTATTTGTATGCTAAATAATTTTTATCAGAATCTTTTTTTGGTTTAAAAAAAGGAATCAGTGTTTTTTGAGATACATAGAACCTTATTCAACAGAGTAATTTTTAGTATCTGTGTGCCATACATAAGTCCTGTGTGCTCAAGACTTGGGATATAAATATGTATTATATCAATATAATAAAAATTCAGGTATCCACCCTAGAGGAGTTTGTGAACTTTTAGAGAATATGTTCAAGTAATTAGATAGTTATATGGTAGTACAGTGTGATAGGAGCTAAATAGACAAATGTGCAGCCTGCTAGGATACCACATAGTGGGACACCCTTCCAAAGAAAATTGTGTTTAAAGCAAGGCATGAAGTGTAAGTATGTGTTTTCTGGGTAATGGAAGAGCATTTTTACTAGAGGAAATAGCAGAGAGTCTAGAAGGAGCAAATTATATTCAGAGAACTGTGAGTAGTTCAAGGATGTCTGAGATTTGGGAGTAAGAGTGACCAGAGAGAAAACTAAACAGGTAAGCCAACCTTAGCCATAAGGACAGAGTAGCTCGAGTTCAGGCATTTGGACCTTATCATATGAGGAATGAAATTTTAGTTTTTAGACTAAAGAATTCTAAGATGAAATATGAACATATATAATGAAACTATTCATTAATTTGGGAAGTTAAGTCTTATATCAACATGATATTTATAAAGCCATCAAACTTGCATTGGAAAGAAATGACATATATAAGATTCATTTCACACAGGTTAGATTCTATGGAGTGATTGTTGAAAAATAAGAAATTTTTCCTCTTTCTTCCTTCTAGGCTTCATATGCCATTTTTCTTTCCCTGTGTTTATTTGCTTTAAAACAATTAATAGAGGCCATCAATTGATAGACATTTTGTTTCTATTCAGTGTTTGAGATGTACATTATATATCTCACAATTGCATAGAAACAAAAATTCTATTTTTTTCGTCTCTACCTAGAGGTCAGGGAAAGAGAAAGAGCATGAGAGCTCTTTTAAAGTTGTTAATATTTGTCTTTATAATATTTGCACTTTAAAAATTTTCTGTTTGTATTTTCCTCTTGTGTGACCTAATCTATTGCTTTCAGAGACATGGAAGTGATGTTAAGTATTTTTCAAGGAGAGACTCTTGAGAGAATACCATTTGGACTGTCTTCCCACCGACTCCCGTCTTTCTGTGAATCCAAACCATTCTCAGTCTGTTAGTGTGTTTTCCTATCCTACTTTGTCTTCTTAATCAGAGTTTTTATGTTCTGTCATTCTTGGTTTAGGTTTCCTCATCTCTTTGCCCACTCATTCCTTTATTTAATGCGTTTCTCAAGTGCTGATTTTCAGGTGCTTCACTAGGTACTGGAGATACGATGATCTATAAGACATGGTCCATTCTCGGGGCCTCAGCCATTTTCCTGTGATCTCTTACTTGTTATGACGTAGTGTTGTTATCTTTGCTGTTTCACTTGGAAACAAATATTTTTTATTAGTTTTTTCAACAACAGCTTCATTCATCATGAATTTTATTATGTGACTGCCACATTTGGTAATTTGTTTCTTCAAAATAGTTTGATAAAAAATGTCTTTATCATTTTAAACTGAACAAGACAGAAATCAAAAAGTAAGATTAGATGGAGACTTCTCTGAGAAGAAAAAAATCTATCATCACTTCCTAGGAATCAGTGCTCAGAGGAGTATAATTTCACTCTCTGCTCTACTCTTGTAAGTGATTTAGAAAAGGGAGTAATAATAGTTTCTCTGTCTAGCCCCAAAGATAACTGCTGAATGATATTAACCTCAGGTGGGCCTGTAATGCTGCTGGCGGTCGAACAGTGGCCCCTGGGTCCCGTTCACTCCCCTGGTCTCCGTGATAACTACTCTCAAATCTTCTCTTTCATCAAACCTTCCTCACCTCTTCCCCATCCTTCCTGTCAGATGCTAACTTTGTTTCCTATATTACTGACCAAGTAGAAATAGTCAGAAAAGAGCTTCCATGTGCTCCTGAAACATGTCACCTCACTTAGCTGCATCTGTGCCAATTTAGATTTTCTGTTATTACTGTGAATAAACTGCTAGTGTTACTAACAAAGGCCAACTTCTCTATGTATTTGTGCACTACATTCCATTCTCTTTTTCTCAAAGATATTCCTTCTAACAGTTCTCTCTTTTTCTTTATTGTTGTTTTTTTTTGGGGCGGGGAGTGCTCTCCATAAGCCAACAAGCATGCTGTTAGTTCTTCCATATTTAAAATACCTACTGGTGAACCCTCTTTCCCCTCACTACAATCCCATTCTGTCTTTTTACTGCAAAATTCCTTGAAGGAGTTGTCTAATCTTTATATTCCAGTTACTCTCTTTCCATTCTTTCTTGAAAGCTAATTAAGCTTTTACCGCTACCATTCCACCATGATTAAATCTACTGGCCAGATCTCAGTCCTCATCCTACTAGACTTAGCTTTTTTTTTTTTTTTTTTTGGTGAAGAAGATTGGCCCTGAGCTAACATCTGTTGCCAATCTTCCTCTTTTTGCTTGAGTAGGATTGTCACTGAGCTAACATCTGTGCCAGTCTTCCTCAGTTTTGTATGTAGGGTGCTTCCACAGCATGGCTTAATGAGCTGTGTGTAGGTCTGCACCTGGGATCTGAACCCGTGAACTCCAAGTTGCTGAAGTGCACAAAATTAACCACTACGCCACCAGGCCGGACCCATAGACACTTAACATGTTTGATCTATCTCTTTTTTGAAACACTTCCTTCACTTGGCTTTCAGAAAATACGTTATCTGATTTTCCCCCTGCATTTCTGGCAAATTCTCCTTTGTCTCCTTTGTTGGGTCTTTCACGTCTTTCCAACCTCTAAGCTTTGGAGCACCCCAGGGCTCAGCTCTCAGTTGTCTTTCTTCCTAGCTATGCTTACTCTTGGGAGGGTCTCATCTAGTCTCATGACTGAAATACTGTTCAATATGCTGATGGCTCTCAGACTTATGTCTTCAACCCCTAGCTCTACCCTGAACTCTGTGATTGTATCTGTCTACTTGACACCTCTGCGAGGAGGGTTAATAAGCATATCAAACTTAACAAGTCTGATAAACTTCTGATGCTTCATCAGAATCCATTCCTTTGGTGTTCTTCCTCATTAAATGGCCACGCTGTGCTTCCTGTTCTTCAGGCAGTAAACCTGAGGGCATTCTTTGACTCCTCCCTGTCTTCATACCCTACATCTAATCTGTCAGCAAATGCTCTTGACTGCATTTCTGAAATAAACTCCTACACCACCACCCTCCTCTCTCACCCCTGTTAGTGCTGTAACCTGCCGAGTGTTCAGTGTGTTCTCAGCACAGCAGCCAAAGTGATGCTGTTGAAATGTGGATTGTATCATGATTCCTCTGGTTGAAACCCTTCAGTGGCTTCCCCGTAGCCTACAAGGCCCAATACGTTTGTGACTTCTTTCCTATCACATGCTGTTTTAGTTTAGTACAATTTCAAGCCTGTTTATTTAATTCCGTATTTTCCCACCATGTTGGACAGTAACTTCTATTGTCTGTCTGTTTGTCCTTAAAACACAGGTATTTGAATAAGTCATTATTTTCAATTTAACAGCAGTACCTAATACTTCCTCCTAATAATAGTGGTCCTGACATTACTGTGGTTCTTGTTAAGTAGGAGAGAATGATCTAGGCACCTGTGGATAGCCCAGAATTACCTCGGAAAGAGATTTTACATAGAAACATTATGAATTGAATATGAATCAAACATATGTCATTCTGATATAGCTGATGTGTCACTGATTCTGTACTCGTATTAGAATGGCAGAAAATGGGAGAGGAACTCAGGAGCACGTCTGGCTTTCCATTGTACCTAAGAGAGTACAGTGATGATGTTTCTCTGAACTCAGTGAGAAAAATGGAGCCAAATGCATTTCTAACAGGTATAAAGCTAAATTGAAAATAATGTTTCTGGTTGAATACAGTTTGATATATTAACAATTGGGGACTTTTAAAAATACTGTGTTTAAGCTACTAATACTTTAAGACACAATAGCTATTTTGAAGGCAAGAGTTTACTTTCCATTTTGCTTTTTTGATTTAAAAGTAATGATTCACTGATTCTAATAGGTGTTATTTTAGCGATCATTTGCACTGCAAAATTTTGGGATATCATTTCACAGTTGTGGAAAAAAATCACTTCAGTTTCGTGCACATGATATCCTCCTCATTTGTCTCCCAGCTTCTAGATTTATCCTCCTTGCTACAGTTAGCATCTCCTCATCTGTTAAATTGCCTCTTGTTAGCTCATTGGCATCATTGTTAGCTATTAGATGATTTATCTTCATCTGTAAATAAGAATCTTGAGACATCATCTTGTTCAGTTATTTTTCTTTGTGCACATTTTTAGGGTCACCATACTAAAATGTAAAAGCCCTTTAAAAACTACTGATTAATATTATCTATGTGTATGTACATATGTACATAGATATATATGGGCACGTGCAAATATACATATATGTGTACATATATGTACCTATATGTATATGTCATGTATGTGAGCACATATGAGTCATTTTACATGCGTGAAGAAATTATCTTCCTTGTGGTATAAATAACTTCTCAGAAACATCATCCCCCTGCCACCTGAGAGTTTAGATAAGTAGGAAGAAATGAGTTAGTGCAGTCACTTATTGTTACCTGTGCAGAGGATAGGAAAGAGGGAAGGGGAGTGGGAGAAAGGAGAGCTGGGCAGTGGTTAAAAGCAAGCCCTGGTGAGCGTGTCAGGAGCTGTTAAGTGAGCTCCTTGAGACTGACTCATATGCCTTTCCTTTTTGAAGCAGCAAGATTGTGAGAGAACAGTCTGTTTTGCTTTGTTTTGTTTTTGTTTTCCTAAGCTAAAATTAGATCTCCCAGGAGTTATTGTTTCACCCGGAATGGGCCAGTCTGCTCTACTACATTCCGTTTTGGTGTGTTCAGGATGGGGGCTTCTTTCTCTAAAGATGACGGGAAATCTAGCACTTCCATGCTGAGAAATAGAAATGGCTCGAGGGGTTGGACAGCACACTCTCATTCTTGGAAGCGTCAGAGAGACATATCTCAAGAAAGTGAGAAATTTGCTCTTCTTACTTCCCTTTCTAGCATCCTACATTCATTTTATTTTTTTTATTATTTTTTTAGCGTTTAGTCAGTCTAAATTGTAATTAGCAATCTAGATTATATGTGTACCGTACATGCTTTACTTCTGCGAAATTCCTGTCTTTATCAAGACACCATTTGGACATATATTTACTCATTTGGGGCTGGTTTCTTCACAGTGGAGGGTAAGTTTCATTTGCGTCATTGCCTGTATGTTTCTAGTACTCCTAACAGGCCCCACAGAGTAGCAGAAGCCCAGCACTGACTCCCAGGGTCACAGGCAGCCAGGCCACTGGATTGCCTTTCTTTGATCTTAGAAATTCAGGGGGCCAGCCCCATAGTCGAGTGGTTAGTTCGTGCGCTCTGCTTCAGCGGCCCAGGGTTTTGCTGGTTCTGATCCTGGGCACCAACATGGCACCGCTCGTCAGGCCACGTTGAGGCGGTGTCCCACATGCCACAACTTGAGGGACCTACAACTGGAATATGCAACCAAGTTTTGGGAGGATTTGGGGAGAAAAAGCATTAAAAAAAAAAGGAAAATTGGAGAAAGTTTTTAGCTGAGGTGTCAATCTTTTTTTTTTTTTTTTGAGGAAGATTAGCCCTGAGCTAAGTACTGCCAATCCTCCTCTATTCGCTGAGAAAGACTGACCCTGAGCTAGCATCCGTGCCCATCTTCCTCTACTTTATATGTGGGGCTCCTGCCACAGCATGGCTTGCCAAGCGGTGCCATGTCTGTACCTGGGATCCGAACCGGCGAACCCCGGGCCGAAGCGGAACATGCGCACTTAACTGCTGCGCCACAGGGATGGCCTCTCAGGTGCCAATCTTTAAAAAAAAAAAAAAAGGAAATTCAAATGGCTCCTCCTTGAAAGCCGCAAACATATGATGTGAGTGAACTTCTCATGTTCCAAGGAACTCAGCAGTAGTCACTCTTGATTCATACATGCCTTCAGAGCCCCTTCCTGAAAGTTTACCTCCGTGGGGCTTTCTGAGAAGTGAAGAGTGACAGCTGATGTGAGCCACCTATATGAACAAACATACTTTCCCATTTTTTCATCTCCCTTGTCTTTTACTTCCTTTCGTGTTCTTTCTCTTTCTATAGTAATTACCCTACATATTCTGCCTCAGCCATATGGGTCTTTTTTGACTTTTTGAAAACAGTTTTATTGAGATATAATTAACATGTCGTATGATTCACCCATTTAAAGTGTAAAAGTCAGTGGTTTTTAGTATATTCACAGGTATATGCAACAATCACCACACACAATTATAATATTTTCCTCACCTCAAAAAGAAACCCAGGACCCCTTCCCCCCTTCCCGTCACTCAGCCCTAAGCAACCACTAGTCCACATTTTGTCTCTAGAGATTTCTTTAGTCTGAGCTTTCATATGAATAGAATAATATGGTATATGGTATTTTGTGACTGGCTTCTTTCCCTTAGCATAATGTTTTCAAGATTCATCCATAAAGTTCATCTATGTTGTAGCATGTGTAAGCGCTTCCGTCCTTTTGTGGTCAAATAATATTCTATTGTGTGGATATGCTATAATTTGTTTAAACATGTGTCTGCTGATGGACACTTGGATGGCTTCCGCTTTTTGGCTATTGTAAATAATGCTACTATAAACATGCATCTACAAGCTTCTGCATGAACATGTTTTCATTTCTCTAGAGGATACACCCACGAGTGGAATTGCTGAGTTACATGGTAATTCTGTGTTTAGTAGTTTGAGGAGCTGCCTTGTGTTTTCTGAGTCAGCGGCCCCATTTGCATTTCTGCCAGCAGTGTATGAGAGTTCTGATTTGTCCCCATCATCATCATTTGCTGTGATCTGATTTTTAATTCTAGCCATCCTGGTAGATGTGAAGTGTGGTTTTGATTTGCATTTCCATAATGACTAATAATGTTGAGCATTTCTTCATGTTCTTTTTGGCCGTTTGTGTCTCCCTTGGGAAAGTGGCTATTCACATCCTTTGCCTATTTTTTAATTGGGTTATTGGTCTTCTTATTATTGTGTTGTAAGAGTTCTTTATATATTCTATATGTAACTCTCTCATCAGATACATGATTAGGAAACTTCTTTCACATCTTAAAACACATTAAGTTTATGCCTCTGGGCCTTTCCTCTTGACGTTCCCTCTTCCTGGAATACTAATTCCTACTCTTCATGTGAATAGTTCCTCTAAACCTTTAGAGCTTGTCTGAATGTTACTTTTTCAAAATGTCTCCACCTTATCTAAATATACTTTTTCCCTTGCTTTTCTCTCTCTGGCTCCCTGTTTATTTCTCCAACAGCACTTAGACCTTTCTGTGAGCTTCTGAACTTGTTTTTTCACTGTCTGCTGCCCTAGAATGTAACCTCCGTGAGGTGAAGGTGCTGTCTGCCTTAGGTAGTAGGCAATAATATTATTGAATGAATGGATGAGTTAATGTCAGGTTTCTTCTCTCTTTATTTTTCTCATCATTCAACTCTATCTTCCAAATATTTGTCAGTGAACTTTGGGAACTCCTTCCAGGCTAATCTGAAGTAAATCTAGAAATTTTTACTCACACATGGAATAACCTCTGATCTGACTCATTTTTTAGATGAATAGCTTTGCAGTTAGAAGCTCTCTGAGCTAGACATCTGTTTGTATCATTCATGAAGTAGACACTTTTATTATACTTATGTTTCTATAGCACATAAAAGGTATGCATTGTTAGCATTACATCTCATTTTTTCGCAATTGAAAAAAATAACCAAAAAAATGCACAGCCTTTATTCTGTGATTACTTCAAATTTAATCTTTTATAGCTTCAGTATACTTAACTTTACTGCTTTGTATGCTGCATTTCTACTTATCTGATAGGAAACTGATGTCTGTGAGGACTCTTACATTCTTTGGTGAAGACCGTGAATCTAAGCCACTGTATTAAATCTATATTATTTGCGTTGATTTGGTACTTTATAAAAGCACAAGTGAAAATCAAACCATTGGCAATGTTTATGTACTAATATGTTGGGGCTGTTTTGAAAGGTATTATTATATGTTTATTTTGAACACTTTGTAGTTGCAGACTACTGTTTATAGAAGAGTTAATCATTGCAGTGTATTTTGGTCAATAAGGAAACAAACATTAATAGATAAAGTTTCTAAATTATACATGGAGCTGAACCAGAGTGCCATATTCTCTGTCTCTGGAGTTTTGTGATGTTCAGTGAAGGAGCAATAAAGTTCATGGGTTTTGTAGTTACATTCTTGTGATGCCAACATATTTTATCCCAGCTCTCAAGACTTGCTGATATTGTTTTAAATTGTTTGATTAACAGATGTTGGAAATTAGTCTTTCCAACTACAAATACTGTTATTTTATCATTAGAACAATATCCTTATTTTAACAAGACAGTTTTCATTAATCTATATTGATTTTTTTAAGTAAATTTTCATGTCCTTAGTGAGTTTAATTCTTTATTCACTGATGCTGCTTGTTGCTGAGACTTTGATAATTTCTGGTCTTTTTAGACATTAAGTCCATGCCCATGTTCTTGTGAATTATCTTCGCGTCTTTAATTTACAAATAGGATGACAATCCATTATACAATCCTAATAGTATAGATTCAGAATTGGAATATATAGTATGGAGAAATAAACTTTTTAAGAGACGAGAAGAATGAGATGACCTATACGGGCAACTACATTTTAATAAAAGAATGAAAATTACCCAATTAACAAATGAGTAGACTGGATTGCCTTCATTGCTAGTCTGATAAATTATGTAAGATTTAAGATTACCACTCTTCTTCCAATTAACTAAAAATATA